TACAGGCGCGTTCGCCTGGGGGGTTATGGGCGCACTGACCCGCTACTGAAACAAGCCCTTTTATCCCAATGGTCTAGTGGTTGGGATTTTGACATGGTATCAGAGCGGTCTCGGGTTCGATTCCCGGTGTATGCACATGTAGGCCGTTGTCGCTGTGCTTAGTCCTGGGCCTCCCAGTGTGGGGGGGGTGTCAGTAGATCTGCACTGTGAATGCCCGATTGATCCTGGAGAGGGTTACAAGCGCGTTCGCCTGGGGGGTTATGGGCGCACTGACCCGCTACTGAAACAAGCCCTTTTATCCCAATGGTCTAGTGGTTGGGATTCTGACAGTACTAACCCTAATTGGGTTGTACCCCTTATGGGCTACCCCACTATAGCCTACACAATATGCATAAGCTATAATGTTCTGACAAAGTAGGCTTCACTAGCGCGAGGAAACGAGAGAGAGAAAAGAACGAACAAACGAACAAGAAAAGAAAGATCAAGTTAGGAACGAGACCGTTAAAGAAGTACGGTTGAAGGAAGAAGATGGGAAAGAAAATTTCAGAAAAAAAAAAAAAACGAGGAAAGCTCGAACGAAATCGGAGTGAGAGAAAGAAAGGGAGGTGAGGCGGACGGACGAAGGAAAGATGGCCATGCAAGAGACTTCAAAAGGAAAATGAACATGTTCAGAAGTCTACATGATGTACATTAAACGTAGGTGAAACTACGTTGCAACAATGAAAAACGACCAATCACGACATGCTAGTGTCTATATCTAAAGAAGGCTCACTCTTAACTTTAGAACGAACTGATTATTCTAGTCTTTAGTAGTCTCACCTGAGAAAGAGACGAGGACGTAGGAGCTACAGGAGGACTAGGGATCTGAGGAAGGACATCAGAACGAGAAAAAGGATTTTTTACGAAACCCTAGGAAGTTCTGGTTCGCGTCAAATCAATATTACGTACACCCTAAAATGGTGGAAACGATTGCGGTGTTTGGCGCAGTGGGTAACGTCTGACATTCTGATCGAAAATCAGGTATTCGATTCCCGAGTGAGATGAAGAAGAGAGGAGGCAATTATGAATATGCTGTTGTGACATACACTTGCAACAAGAGGAAAATGAACATAACAATCTATAAATACTAAACCCCAAAACTTCTCAACACTTTGTAGCATAGTGTTACGAGTGCAATTGAGTGAACGAATGAGAATTGCACTATCGAAGCAAGAGCACAAATGAGCGAAGGCATGAGCGAAGAATATATAGCGAAACTACAGTGGTAACGGTAATGGACTGTGGTTGTCTCGTGACAGGCCTGGGATTGAGGTTGGGAAAAGTGTCGAAGCGGAGTCCCGGAGCGCGGGTTACCCGCCGAGCCGTGAGGTCGGGGTGCGACGTGCGAAAGGTGGCGGGAGGATTGTCGATGCGAGAGTTGCGAGTGGTAACGGTGCTGACTGTGGTGCTATAGTGATGTACGCGCTGAGCGGGGACGCGAAGGAAGGAAAAGGAATTTTCCTTACACACAACAAATCTCAGTGCGAGTTAAAAAAGGTGCCAATTTAGATTCATGCCAGCTATTTTAACCAACCCCAACAAAACAAGCATAAAGTCCCACATATATTAACATTTTATATAAAGATAAAAATCAAACATAATATACTTGATCAAAACAGCTTCGCAACCCTAAGACGATTTCGTCGCCTCTTGTTTTTTTTTTTTTGGCAGATTCATGGATATCCTGTTTACAGTACCTTCCATCTAGTTACATAAAAACTACGGCATATTCCGTAGCTACGGTAAAATTCTTCCTAGCGATGTCATACTATCTGCACAGACGGGAAAAAGAGTTTAACTTAGTTTACGACGGCACTCTCATCGGAAAGGCGCTGAGCGAAGACGGAGTGTTCGTGCTCAACTTCGACTCACCCGGTAACGTCGGCGACAAGGATCACATCATTGTCCTTGGTCCACAAGGACATCCATCGCCGTCCACTTGGAGTCATCCGGAGGAGCCGGACTACCAACGCCCAAGCCCGAACGTAACCTTCCGTGCTCTTGCAGTGCCCGTCGCATCAACCACGAACCTTGTAGATACGGGACCAAAAGCAGTGGAAATAGGACAATGCTCAGTGGGAGAAAGCTCTACAGAAAGCCAGGCACAAGAAAATTGGCCTAGGGTCGAGCAACCTACCAGCTGAAATGTCGCTGAAGGATGGGACGCAACAGACGTCAACTAGCCAATGCATGGCACAGGATGGGGAGCACGCCCCGGAGAAGCCGTTGAAGCCATTACAAGATGGGCCATCTTCGCACTTGTAGAGGAAGAAGAACCGGAGGTTACTCAACTGGACCTGAAAGAAGTAGAAGAGGAGTCACTGACTGAATTTAGACCTCACCTCATTCCAATCACGACGGACGGAAGAAGTTATATCTGTCTCAAGAAAAGTGGAGTAGTGGAGAAGTGGAGTGGCAACACCGACTTTGAAGAAGGCGAAATAACCCAGCTCAAAGAACGGCGACCGAGAACGAATTCCCCGAAATGACCGCTACAACTTCCTATAGCAATCGATACCGCGACCATCGGCAACCCCAGGGGAGAATACCATGGGATGAGATTCGAAGCCGTCCGCACGGCAGCACTCCAAGTTCTCGTGCCGGAAGAACCTGCACACAGAGTGGAGAAAGAGGCAGCACAACGGATATCAACACGGGAGAAAGAGCTGAACGCACACACACGAGGATGCCGTATCACCCCGGAAATAAGCGCACTTGCGCTATATATTATGCTCTAGCCTGTAGTAGGGTGCTCTATAGCGAGTACAACCCTTGTAGGGTTTGCTATTTGTATCCTGATTCTTGCTAGTGCAACCCCTCTTCTTTCTTCTAAAACTTTCACATGCTATCAGAGCAGGTCGATCCCCTTGGATCGATCCTAAGGGTGGGCTCACCACCTCCTTGCTTCCGCTGCAACTGCTACTGCTACTCTCTGTGCCGCACGCCCCGTGGCATGCGGCAGTTTTTCTTCCCGCCGTGCGCCCCGAGGCGCGCGGCGGTTTTCTGCCCGCCGTGCGCCCCGAGGCGCGCAGCGGTTCTCTGCCCGCCGTGCGCCCCGAGGCGCGCGACGGGTTTCTGCCCCGTCACTCGGCGCGTCGCCCCCAGGAGGCGCTGCGACGGGCGACGGGGACCCGCGCGTCGCCCCCCGTCGCCGCTCCTATCGGCCCCGAACCGCCGCCAGCGGCCCCGTCATCGCCGCCAGCGGCCCCGTCGCTGCCACTTGCGGCCCCGGCCCCGCCCCGGCCATGCCTCGTCGCCAGCCGCGGCGCACCGGGGGCACGTGCACGAGGGGGGCGAGCGTCGCCCGTTCTGCCGCCTGCTTTGGCGCCCAGGGAGGCCGCGCATCGGCCCCGCCCCCCCCCCCCCCCGTAACCTCTCTACCCGCCATCCCGCCCTGCCCTGTGTTCGGGTTTTGGGGTGGCGAGTGGGGGGTGGCCGGTGTGTGGTCTCCCCTGCTCCTCCTCCTCCTCTGTCTCCCACTGCTGCAGCTGCCCCTGAGGGAGGTGGGTGTGTGGGAGTCGACGGAGTGGTGCTAGGGGGTGGGGTGTGAGTGACCCTAGGGGTGCAGTAGGGGGTGTGTGAAATGGGGGTGGGATACTTTGGGGAGGTTGAAGGGGGTGGCCGCCGAGAAGCCAGCAGCTCCAGTCGCCCGTGAGACCGATGCGCCAGTCGCCCGTGAGCCCGTTGCTCCAGTCGCCCGTGAGTCAGTTGCTCGTCTGCCGCTACTTTTAGCCGCAAAGCTAGTTACTCCAGTAGCCCGTGTGCCAGTTGCTCCAGTTGCCAGTGTGCCAGTTGCTCCAGTTGCCCGTGTGCCAGTTGCTCCAGTTGCGCCGTGTGCCAGCAGCTTCAGCTGCCGCCCACTACCTCCTCTCCTCTCATAGTCCCTCCTCCTCCACACTAGCCCTCTGCGATAGCCTCTAGCTTTGCTCATAATTGTGAACTTTAAACTATTGCTTCTTGAACTTGTGCTCAGAATGTGTGGTGACATTGTGATCCACCCTGAGCTTGTACTGCTTTGCCTGCTCTGCTGATTACACCCCACTTTGGCTATGGGGGTGTGTCAGAATATTATGCTCTAGCCTGTAGTGGGGTGCTCTATAGCGAGTACAACCCTTCTAGGGTTTGCTATTTGTGTCCTCATTCTTGCTAGTGCAACCCCTCTTCTTTCTTCTAAAACTTTCACAGCGCTTATAGTTCAGTAAAAATTATAAGCGCATGCGCTTATAATTCAGTAAAAATTATAAGCGCATGCACTTATATATTGACAATTACAGAAGTATATTTTACACGCACCAAATTGTACATCCCAGTCTTGCGATCTCAGTATATAACGTTGCCACCACCTACGGCCCCGTCGCCGTCACCTGCAGCCCCGTCGCCGCCACCTGCGGTCACACCGCCGCCACCTCCGGCCCCGTCGCCGCCACCTGCGGCCCCGTCGCCGCCAACTGCGGCAACGCAGCCGCCACCTACGGCCCAGCCGCCACCTGCGGCCCTGTCGCCGCCACCTGCGGCCCCATCGCCGTCACCTGCGGCCCCGTCACCCTCCCCTAGCGGCCACGTCGCCGCCTCTACCGGCCCTGTCCCCGCTCAGCCGCCCAGCGACCGAGCCGCCGAGCAGCCCACCAGCCGGGCCGCCCACCAGCCGAGTCGCCGGGCCACCCACCAGCCGAGCCGCCCAGCAGCCGCGCCGCCCAGCAGCCCAGCCGCCCACCTGCCGAGCAGCCCAGCCGCCTAGCAGCCGAGCCGCCCAGCAGCCAAGCCGCCGAGCAGCCGAGCCGCCCACCGGCCGAGCCGCCGAGCCGCCCAGCAGTCGAACCGCCCAGCAACCGAGCCGCCCGGCCGCCGAACCGCCGAGCCGCCGAACCGCCCTACTGTCGAGCTGCTGGTGTTCCTACCAGTGCGCCCCGACCCTACTTCCTCGGACTGGTGAGCTCACTCCCTACTAGGCCGCTGCAGTCATGGCTACCCCCAGTGTCCTTAATTTTGATGCTGAGGGCCATGCCGTTGACTTTGAGGTCTGGGTCAATGACCTCCAGCTGTTTCTCCAGTGCGATAGGGCAGACGGACTCTCTTTGTTCGATCTCACCTCTAGAGTCTCTCCCGCCCCACCTGCTACTGCTGAAACCATTGTTTGCTCACAGTGGGCCACACGCGATGCGGCTGCTCGCCTTGCTGTGCGTCGCCACTTACCGATCGCTGAGCGTGCGCACTTTAGCCAGTACAAGAGTGCTAAGACCTTGTACGACACTGTAGTTGCGCGCTACTCCTCCCCTGCCACTGCTGCTCTTAGCCGCCTCATGCTGCCATACCTGTTCCCTGACCTTGCTGCTTTTCCCACAGTCGCTGACCTTATCACTCACCTTCGCACTAGTGACATTCGCTACCACGCTTCGCTTCCTGCTGAGTTGTGTGCCCAGAACCCCCCCCATGTACATCACCCTCTACTACATAGTCACCCGCCTCCCTGACTCCCTTCGCTTAGTCAAGGACCACTTCCTCTCAGTTTGCCCCACCACACTCACCGTCGACCTCCTCGAGGAGCGCCTCCTAGCAGCAGAGAAGAGCATGGTCGTTGTAGGAGCCTCTCGTGGTGACCCTCGCACCCCCGTCTTTGAGGGGTGTTCCCCCTCCCCCCTCTTGCCCTCTGTTGCCTCTGGTGCTGCGGCCGACCTCGTTGGTTTTGAGTCGGTCGGCGCTGCGTCTGCCCCGAGCGGGAGACGCCGCACCGGCAAGGGCAAGGGGGGCAAGGGCGCTGAAGGGGCTAGCGGGGGCGGTGGAGGTGGTGGTGGAGGCAGTGGAGGGGGTGGGGGTGGTGGTAGTAGTGGTGGCGGGGGTGGGGGTGTCGGTGGCAGCAGTGGAGGCGGAGGAGGCGGCGGCGGTGGCGGAGGGAGCGGATGCGGTGGAGGCGGTGGAGGCGGCGGAGGTGGCGGAGGCGGCTGAGGTGGCGTAGGCAGCGGCGGCCGCAGTGGACCTGGTCATGGCTCTGCGCAGAGGAGTGGCTCCGGTAGTGGTCCGCGCCAGTAGCAACAGCGCAGTCGTGAGACCTTGTCCCCTCAGCAGCTTCGTGAGTGGTACGCTGCGCGTCAGCGCGGTGGGGGTACTGGTCCCTACACCTACGTTCTCCGTACCGGCGACCGCGCGGGTGAGCAGTGCGGGGGCCCGCACTCCACCCAGCACTGCTTCGGCTACCTGACAGACGCGTGGCGGCACCAACTCCTAGAGGCCTCTGAGATCCCTCACTGGGGAGAGCTGTCTAGGGCGGGGGTTGCCATCTTTGATCTTGATTTTGATGCTATTCTTGCTGCCATGTATGCTGTTGCTGATAGTGTTGAGGGTGACTGTTACCTGTGTGTTCCGCATGACCCGGGCACTGAGACTGCTGCTCTAGGTGCTGGTGAGGCTACTGCTCTAGGTGCTAGCGCGTCTGCTGCCCCAGGTGCTGGTGAGTCTGCCCTCTCAGGTACCACGTCGGCTCAGGCCTTGTACACCTTCACCCTTGACTCGGGTGCTTCCCGCTCCTTCTTTCGAGGCCACACCACACTTACGCCGCTTAGTCGGCCGGTTGCGGTCTCCTTGGCGGACCCCTCTGGGGGTCCTGTCCTTGCTCGCTTCTCCACTGTTTTACCGTGTCCGGCAGCCCCCTCTGGCACCCTGTCAGGTCTCTACCTCCCCTCGTTCTCTACGAACTTGGTGAGTGGAGCTGATCTACAGGATAGGGGGGTTGACCAGTTCACTCCTGCGAGACAGCGGGTGACTCACTGCACGTGTGCTCGGACAGGCCGACACCTGGCCACGTTCACCCGTCGGCTGGGGTCGAGCCTGTACACCCTCACTATTGAGTCTCCTCCGGCTGCTGAGCCTGGTCAAGTCGCTGCGTCGAGTCAGGTGTTTGCTGCGGCGTCCAGGTCTAGTCCTGAGTCTGCTCCTTGCTCGTGTCGTCTCCTGTCTCACCAGACTCTCCTTTGGCACCACCGCCTTGGTCACCCCTCTCTGCCTCGTCTCCAAGGCATGGCCTCCCGTGTCCTTGTCTCTGGTCTCCCCCGGTCTCCCCCTCCCCTGCCTCCGGGGCCTGGCCCTACCTGCGTCCCCTGCGTCGAGGGGCGACAGCGTGCTGCCCCTCACTCCTCCGAGTTTCCTCCGACAGAGGCTCCGGTGCAGACCCTCCACATGGACGTGTGGGGGCGGAGGAGGCGGCGGTGGTGGCAGAGGGAGCGGAGGCGGCACAGGTGGCGGTGGCGGCGGAGGTGGCAGAGGGAGCGGAGGCGGCGGCGGTGGCGGAGGCTCCGGAGGTGGCGGAGGCGGCGGAGGCGGCGGTGGCGGCGGCGGTGGAGCTGGTCGCGACTCTGCGCAGAGGAGTGGGTCCGGTGGTGGTCCGCGCCAGCAGCAGCAGCGCGGTCGTGAGACCTTGTCCCCTCAGCAGCTTCGTGAGTGGTACGCTGCGCGTCAGCGCGGTGGGGGTATTGGTCCCTGCACTTACGTCCTCCGTACCGGCAACCACGCTGGTGAGCAGTGCGGGGGCCCGCACTCCACCCAGCGCTGCTTCGGCCGCCTGACGGACGCGTGGCGTCACCAGTTCCCTGAGGCGTCAGAGATCCCTCGCTGGGGAGATCTGTCTAGGGCGTGGGTTGCCATCTTTGATCTTGACTATGATGCTATCCTTGCTGCCATGTATGCTGTGACTACTAGTGCTGAGGGTGACTGTTACCTGTGTGTACCGCCTGACCCAAGCGTTGAGGCTACTGCTCTAGGTGCTGGTGAGGCAGCTGCTCTAGGTGCTAGTGCGTCTGCTGCCCCAGGTGCTAGTGCGTCTGCTGCCCCAGGTGCTGGTGAGTCTGCTCTCTCAGGTGCTACGTCGGCTCAGGCCTTACACACCTTCACCCTTGACTCGGGTGCGTCCCGCTCCTTCTTTCGAGACAGCACCACACTTACGCTTCTTAGTCGGCCGGTTGCAGTCTCCCTGGCGGACCCCTGTGGGGGTCCTGTCTTTGCTAGCTTCTCCACTGTCTTACCGTGCTCGGCAGCCCCCTCAAGCACCCTGTCAGGTCTCTACCTCCCCTCGTTCTCTACGAAATTGGTGAGTGGAGCGGACCTACAGGATAGGGGGGTTGACCAGATCGTTCCTGCGAGTCAGCGGGTGACCCACTGCACGTGTGCTCGGACAGGCCGACACTTGGCCACGTTCACCCGTCGGCCAAGGTTGAGCCTGTACGCCCTTACTACTGAGTCTCCTCCGGCTGCTGAGTCTGGCCAGGTAGTTGCGTCGAGTCAGGTGTTTGCTGCAGCATCCAGGACTGGTCCTGAGTCTGCTCCCTGCTCGTGTCGTCTCCTGTCCCACCAGACTCTCCTTTGGCACCACCGCCTTGGTCACCCCTCCCTGCCTCGTCTCCGAGGCATGGCCTCCCGTGTCCTTGTCTCTGGTCTCCCCCGGTCTCTCCCTCCCCTACCTCCGAGGCCTGGCCCTACCTGCGTCCCCTGCGTTGAGGGGCGACAGCGCGCCGCCCCTCACTCCTCCGAGTTTCCTCTGAGAGAGGCTCCGTTGCAGACTCTTTATATGGACGTGTGGGGCCCCGCCCGCGTCCGTGGCCAGGGGCACGAGCGTTACTTCCTGTTGGTGGTTGACGACTACTCGCGTTACACCACGGTCTTCCCCTTGCGGAGCAAGGGCGACGTCACTGAGGTGTTGATCGACTGGATCCGCGCAGCTCGTCTCCAGCTCAGAGAGAGTCTCGGCTCCGACTTTTCTGTTCTGCGTCTGCACTCTGCCGGAGGCGAGGAGTTTTCCTCTACCCGTCTGGGAGCCTTCTGTCGGGCACAGGGCATCCGCCAGACCTTCATGCTTCCGGCCTCTCCAGAGCAGAATGGGATTGCTGAGCGCCGCATCGGTATGGTCATGGACGTCGCTCGTACGGTGGCCGTTTGCGGTTCAGTACGCGGCGCATCAGCTCAACCTTCAGCCCCGGGTCTCCTTGCCAGAGACCTCCCCCACCTTGCGGTGGACGGGGAAGGTTGGCGATGCGTCTGCGTTTCGGGTTTGGGGATCTCGGGCGTTTATCCGCCACTTGTCTGCGGACAAGCTGTCCTCCCGTGCTATTCCGTGCGTCTTCCTTGGCTTCCCCCTTGACGCGCCTGGCTGGTAGTTTTACCACCCCACCTCGCGCCGTGTATTGTCCTCCCAGGACGTCACCTTTGACGAGTCGGTGCCTTACTATCGTCTCTTCCCCTACCGCGCTGCGCCCCTTCCCCCACCGCCGCTCTTCCTTGTGCCAGGTCCTCCCCCGATAGACCCCCTCCCCCCTCAGAGTCTTGCCTCGTCAGGTGTGTCCCAGGTAGACGCAGTCGAGCCTGTCAAGGTAGCTGTTGACTCAAGTGCTGCTAGAGGTGTTGAGCCTACGGGTGTCGGGGCTGGAGGTGCTGAGTCTGGGGGTGCTGAGCCTGGCCGTGCAGAGACTGAGGGTGCTCTGCCTGGGGGTGCTGAGACTGAGGGTGCTGCGCCTGGGGGTGCTGAGTCTGGAGGTGCTGAGCCTGGGGGTTCTACGCGAGAGGGTGCGGAGCCTGGGGGTGCGGAGCCTAGGGGTGCGGAGCCTGGGGGCGCTGGGTCTGCTCGTGTGGCCGCCAGCGGTGCTTCGTCGAGGCGGGAGCCACTCTCTCCACAGGAGCTGTGCGAGTGGTTTGCCCGGCGCTGGAGCCGTGCTGCTGGAGCTTGAGGTACTACTGTTGCTGCTGGTCCCGGAGGTGCTCGTATTGGCGGTACTGGAGCTGCTGGGACTTGGGGTGTTGCTGGGGCTGCTGGAGTTGGTCCTGCTGGAGCTGGTGGCGGTGCTGGAGCTGCCGGTCCGTCTGGAGTTGGTGCTGCTGGAGCTGCTGGAGCTAGAGCTACTCGGGGTGTTGGCGCTGGTGTTTCTGCTGGCGCTGGTGCGTTTGAGGGTGCTGGAGTTGGCGTTGTTGGAGCTGGAGGTACTGCTGGCGCTGGTGCTGCCGCTGGGGGTACTGGTGCTGTCCCTCCTGGTTCTGGAGGCGCTGCGCGGCCGAGGCCGTTCTTCGTTCCGCTCCTTGAGCAGGTCCTTGGTCTCCCGCCCTCTATTGGTCCTGCCCCTCCCTTAGAGTGTCTACTGCCTGTCTAGTCGCAGTCACAGTTACAGCCCGCCTCCCCTCTTCCTGCTCCTTCTCCCTACACTGGTCCTACTGGAGGTCTTGCTGAGCGTCGTGAGCCTGCGTCTCGTCCTGCGTCGCCTGTTCGCACTACTCGCACTAGTCCTCGTGTTCCGCGTCCGCGTCCTCCTACTGTTCTAGGCACACAGCAGATGGCACTGCGTCCTTCGATTGCTCCCCTTCGTGTCCCGTTGCCGTCTCCTCCAGCGTCCTCTTTTCCTGTCCTTCCTGACCCTGAATCTTACTCTCTTCGTGCTGCCAGTCCTACTGTCACGCGTCTCCTGGCCACTGTTGTCACTGACCCTTCCTTTGAGTCCACTGCTGCGTCTGCCTTAGTGGCTGAGCTTGTCGACTTCGTCGCTCGCTGTCGTCTAGACTACGCCACTAGTCTTGTTGCTGAGTCCGAGTCTGTCTTTCCTCCGTCCGTCCGGGGTGGGTGTGCTCTTAGCACGGACGTCCTTGAGGACAGGCAGGAGGAGTTCCAGTGTTTTTCTGCTGCTTTGCCTTATCTGGTAAAGCACCAGATAAGGGAGACCCGGATGCACCAGACATCCCGACTCCTCGATCGTACGCTGAGGCGATCGAGGGTCCCTACTCCTCTCAGTGGCAGTCAGCCATGGACGCAAAGATGGCTTCCTGGAAGTCCACACGCACCTACGTCGACGAGGTTCCCCCATCTGGGGCGAACATCGTCAGTGGCATGTGGATTTTCAGGGTGAAGCGGCCACCGGGTTCTCCGCCTGTCTTCAAGGCACGTTACGTGGATCGAGGCTTCAGACAGCGGCAAGGAG